TGGAGACATGGGGAGCCGCGGGGTGGTGTAAATGGGGAGCCGCGGGGAGGTGGAGACATGGGGAGCCGCGGGGTGCTGGAGATGGGGAGCCAGGTGCCCGAGTGGGCAGCACGGCTGTGGGCCACAGCTCTGTCCCTGGCAGGCCCCAGGCTGCAGGGTGGGATGTGGCTCCATGAGCAAGCGTGGGCCCCAGCAGCGGAGCGCTCAGAGTGCACAAAATGTCAAGATGGTTGGCACTGAATGTTGACCACTGACCAGAACAAAACCCAGCGTGCAAGTACAACCAAGTCACGTCTGCTTGCAAACGAAGCATCATCACTACTCACTGTTCGCTAGATGGTTTTAAAACTGGGGAGATATAAACCAAATCCAAGCCTTCATTACCGCATAGTCAAAATCCACGTGCTGTTAAAAACCACTGTATTTAATACAACGTACTAAACAGCTCTTGCAACTATTTTTGTTTTCGACTTTGCAATACATACCAAGGAAAAGCATCTCACCCTCAAGAAAAACAGCCAAGGGGCTCTGAGCAGAAACTCATTTCCTCTAAGCAGGCTGTGGCTTCAGGCCGCAGAGAAACCCCCCTCACGCTCTGGAAGGCGCCACTGTCCTTGTAACCATCTCTAGCCACGGACTCCTTTTCAACGCCAGTGTCCGTTCTGATGTGGTGTATCATATCACCATCAAGAGAGATGTTCTCAAGTTTCTGCAGGTGAAAAATTTGACTGTTTTCCTATGTAATTCTTTCCTTCCAAGGGCAGCTGCTTGGCAAAGGCCCCTGGTTTCTGCGCACTCCCCAGGTGCTCATGTGGCCTTCAAGGGACAGGGGGGATCAAGCTCCTGGGCCTGGGGGCGCCACTCAGGGGTGGCTGGGAAGCGTGAGGGCAGCTCCATCCCCTGATCCGGGGGCCTCTGACGTGTGAGGATGAGTTCTGGGGGGCCTGAAAGGAGGAGAGATTCAGGACATGAGTTCTCAGACCTCACACATGTCACTCGACAGGCCTGCTCCCCCCGAGAACTCGGGTTTCTTGCGTGTAAACCGCGGACAGGATGCTGCTGGACTCGGGGCGTAGCCGAGGGACGGCGGAGAGGGCGTATGGCCAGGCCTCCCCATCGGGAAGTGCAGCCTTCCTCCAGAGCCCTAAGGGCACCAGGAGTCTGTCTGTGTCCTTTCAGAAAACAAATCTGTCTCAGGGCAGAAGGAGAGTAACTAGGGCTTTTAATGGATTTTATGTATGTCCTGAAAATACACGTATTATGAAAGAACAATGTCCTATAAAAATCAACTCTTGATTTGAGAAATTCAGAGGACTAAACCTTATTTAAAATAATATTTGGGGTGCGCCTAGATGGCTCAGATGGTTAAGGGTCTGACTCTTGATGTCGGCTCAGGTCCTGATCTCAGTGGTCGTGAGTTCAAGCCCCACGTTGCATGGAGTCTGCTTAATAAAGCAATAAAAAATAAAATAACACTTGGGGAACAGAGTGGTTGCTCTTATTGTGCAGAATGCTGCTTTAACCTCCCGAGGACAAAGGTGTCAAGGAGCAGTGCCCCCAACATCACCCACCTGGACTCCAGGTGTGAACAGGTGGGCTGTGTGCGCAGAAGTGTGGGGATGTAGTATGAACTAGGCCGTCAGACGCTGAGAAACCCTATTCCCCACCTCTGCCCTCTGTGCTCGTAGCCCGTCTTCCCGTGTTCTTTCCCCTTTATTACTTGCCTTCTGGTATATTTTTTATATTTGTCTCTACTATAAAACTAAGCATGCAATTTGGTTAATATCACGTACGAATAAAATCTTATTTTCCTTCTTTTATTTTGGAAAATGTTAACCCCTTCACTCTTAAGGAATGTGAATTAATTTAAAAGGAAATCAAAATCCCATTGAGAGTTTTATAGACATAAACAAGGCCATTCCAACCCTTGCGCGGAAAGGCACAGGACTTGGAGGGGTCACCACGATTTTAATAAGAAAAACAAAGTAAGAGGACCCACTCTTCCCAACGTTAAGGTTTACTGTACCGCCAAGGTAATCAGGCCGGTGTGGAACTGGTGGAGGGACAGATACCTGGATGGGTGGAAGAGAACCCAGAACAGAGAACCAGACCCACACAAATATGTGGAAACGATTTCTGACAAAGGAACAAAGCAGCTCAAGTGAGAAGCGATCTTTTGTTCCACAACAGCCCAGGAGCAACAGGATACTCCTAGGCAATGATAAACCAAAGCAAAATGAAAAGCCCTCAACGTACACCTCACACTTTATACAAGTGTTAACTCCAAATGGACCACGGATTTAGGTGTAAGATGAAAAACTATAATACATAGAAAAAAAAAAAAAACGGAGAAAAATCTCCAGGACCTCAGGCTAGGCAGGCAGTTCTCACCATCCCCCCATCACAATCCATGAAAGGGAAAATTAGTAAACTGATCCCGTCAAAATGAAAAACTTTCTATCAAAAACCCTGTGCAGAAGATGGAAGACATATGAATGAAGGAAAATAAAAGAAGGAAAATAAGGTTTTATTCATAAGATGAGTGCCAACCATTGGGACCAATGTCTAGAACACAGAAAGAATTACCGAGACCAAACGCCCAATTACAACATGGGCAAAGACACGAACCGGCTGTTCACTGTAAGGGTGTGCAGGTGGCATATACATGCATGAAAATCTTCAACGTCATTTTCCATGAGGGAAATGCAAATTAAAATCACAATGTCACCATACATCTCATGATAGAACAGCTAAAATAAAAAGTAGCAATGGTGCCAAATGCTGTCAAGGTCGTGCACATCCTGGGTCACTCCCACCTTGTGGGTGGGATGCAATAGTGCAGCCCTTCTAGAAAAGAGGAAGGCAGTTTTTTATAAAATTAAACGTGTGCTTACCTTACTGTACTCTTGGGCATTCCTTCCCAAAGAAATGAAAGCTATGCTCACACAAAAACCTGTACGTGGATGTTCAACACAATTTGATTCACAATAACCAAAAAGTGGCAACGATCCACGTGCCCTTCGAAGAGTGAATGGTTAAAACAAAACAAAACAAAACCCCAGAATGGTGGGGCATCCATAGCCGCCCAGGAATAAAAAAAGAACATATACTCAACCGAACAGATCTCAAGAGAATTGTACTTAGTGAAAAAGCCGATCAAAAAAGGTTGCATATTGTATGACTCGGTTTATACAGCATTCTCGAAATGATGAAATTACAGAAATTGGGGAACAAGAGATGAAATTACAGAAATTGGGGAACAAGACAAGTGGCGCCAAGGGCTTGGGGAAGGAGAAGGGAGGGCGTGGGCTGCAGCGGGAAAGGACAGCACGCACAACCCAGAGGTGGAACTGCCTGCCCGGCTCTTGGTGACCACACAATCCGACAAACATTTAAAATCACAGAGCAGGCTGCGGCCGGTTCCTCCTCCCACGACATCCTCCACCCCTGTGCGGTCACTGTCCCCGCGCACCTGGCAGCAAGACCCGACCTTCACAAGCCACCAAGCAGCGATTCAATGTCAAATCACAGAGCAAGCACCTTGTCTTACACTTTCTCATCTTTGGGCAAAGAAGTGTGATATGTTAGAAAGATTTTCAAAGTGGATCTGAACCAAATAGATTTTGTTCGACCCCGATTAATAAAAGTAGTCATTTCAGAACAGCTAAATTCTTGAGAGTTCTTGCTAATCAACATTGTATGGCAATTTTTAACTAGATTCCTTCCCTTCAGGTTTTTGTTTATTCCACTTAAAACTATTGATGGGCCCTTTTCCTTGTCTGGTAGAAACATATTATCAGGCCGACGGCCCTCAGCAGGTCACTTGGGCCACCCTTCAAAGAAGGGCTGCTCTGTTCAACTTCCCCAGCTCCGGGCACCAGGCAGTAATGTCCGAGGGGGCCCCGCCACCACCCACAAGTGACCCGCCAGTGAGCCTGTGGTCCCAAGCCACCCCCTGAATTGTGGGCCATGGTCTGTAAAATGTCCCTCTGACCCTGGTGAGTTAAAATCTCAAATAACCACAGGTGTTAGATAGGGTGCTCGCTACAGTTCCCTTCCTCTGAAAAACTCTTTCTAGCCCAGTGTGGGTGTCCCTTGCGGGGTCAGCCAGAGGCCCCCCTGAACCATGTTTACACCCCTCAGCATACATCCTAGCCACCTCATGCGCCTGCCACGGATGCAGAGTTGAACTGCACACATGTTGTTGATTCTCACGTTGTCGCAATTGGAAAACAGAGAACAGGAACCAGAACGCGCCTACTTCCTGCCAGAGTCTTACTGAGATCCCCAAAGAAACTTAAATGTTTTGCAAACCCCAATCTATCTTCCGAAACAGAAGGCAAAAGTGGATCCTAAAAGAAACCTGGAGCTGCCACACCAGCATCCCACAAGACCCAGGGCCACCGCGGGGGGGTGGCGTGGGTGGTTAGCGCAGTGACGGCAGAACACACACACCCTGGGGGCCTCCACCCCCGGCGTCGGGCACAGGAGGGGCGCGCGCCGCCAGGTCACAGGCGCCAGGCGCGCAGGTGGCTGCAGGTGGACCCAGGCGGCTGTAGGTGGGCGCAGGCGGCTGCAAGGGGCTGCAGGCAGCGCGCGCTGGCGCTGGGACAGGCCCCGCGAAGGCGGAAGCCAGGCAAGTCTCCAGTCGCCGCCCCCCCCGTGATCAAAGGGAAACTTGCTTCGTTCCGGGGTGGGGGGGGGCCGGGGGGGGCGTCCGCGGGGCTCAGCGCGTGGAATTAGTAAACACTTCGAACTGGCAGGGACCCCCAGCCTGCCCTTCGGTTCGCCCCCAGCACCCATCTCCATGTCGCCCGGAGCCGCCTCTTTCGACCCTTGTCACCTCCCACCCCTAAACCCCACCCCCACCCCCACCCCCACCCCTAGGCCGCGCGCTCCTCCCGAGACCTTGCCTCGGGGCCTGGCCGGAGGCCACACCTGGAAACCCGTGGAGTTCCAGCGCCCGCCGCCGCAGACCGGCGTCCACACCCGCGCCCACCCACTCGCAGGGAGGCCTCGGGCTGCCACCTGCCCGCCACCTGCGCCGCTGCCCAGGACAGCCCCGCGCCCCGAGTCCCGCCCAGGTGCCCGCGGTGCCCGCTCGGGGGCGCGGAAACAAAGCCCCGGGCCACCTCTCCCGCCCGCCCGCCCCCCCCCCCCCCCCCCACCCCCCGCCACGATCACCCACCGCGCTCTCGCCTCTCCGCAGCCCGGGCCCCACTCGTGGGCAGCCGGGGCCCGGAGCTAGCTGCCGGCGCCGCCTTCCGTAGAGGGAGACGCGGGCCGCCAGGGCCGGAGGCTCGTCCTCGCTGGTTCGCGGCGGTGACTGACGGCGGCAGCTCCAGGGCCGGGCGCGCACCCCGCCTCCCGCCCCCGCCGCCCGGGCTTCCTGCGAGCCAGGTAAACACGCCCGCCGAGCGGAGCCCGCCCACCTGCCGCCCCGCCCCGCGCCGCCCGCCGCCCGGACCTCCTCGGGGACCGCCTGGCCAGGCGGAGCACCGCGGCCGCGCGGGGACCCGGGCGCAGAGTTGGCGCCGGCGTGGCGAGGCCGGATTTGGCCGCCGCAGAACCCCTGCTCTCTGAACCTTTCCCGGGGCTTAGCCTCTGAAACTACCCTCACCGGCCATGGCCACGAGGGACCTGAGATAACATCGCCTCATTTCACAGCATGGGGACCCAGTCCAAAGCGGCTGCTGGCCCGAATCCACCCCGACCCCGGTTCAGTGCCGGGGCTGATGCTCCCCTGTCTCCCAAGCCTCACCTTTGCGAGCCCCAGGTGATGAGCTTTGCATGGGTCCTAGCACCATGAACAGGCGCTCCGCTGGAGAACGCGCGTTTCCCCCGAGGAGGCAGGCAAAGGGCACGCATAAAACAGACCAGAAAATGCAAAGGGGGAGGAGGCGGGCCCTGGGTTCTGCCGCACCCAAGCCTCTGTTGACCTGCTGGCAGTGTCACACTCTTGATCCGAAGGAAGCTGCTGTCGGGACGTTAGTCACCTGGGTGCACAGGTTTGGTGGTCCCGTGGACTCTTCCCTGTGTTCTTGGCCTCCTCCTGGCAGTGGGGAGGCAGGAGGGAGCGGGGAGAGCCCGAGATGCTGGCGTCCTTCCTGACTCAGGTTCCCGGTCAGCGGAGCTGAATCCGACACTCTCTGGAGCCCTCCTGGACCCACTGGTATATGTTAGGAGTTAGGGGGAAGTCTGGGTTGGCCAGAGGCGGAGAGCCCTTGTCCCCTGGGCCACCCGTGTGCAGTGCCAGCGTTCCCTGCCCAAACCAGCTGCCCTCATGTTCCCAAGGGATCTAGCAACCACACTCAAACGCAGATGATTGTAAGAGAAATATGTCCAAGGTAATAGAAGTGTTGAACCTGATCCTGTCCTCAGACGAGACCGGTGAGAGGAGAGAACACGATATTCCCACCTTGAATGGGGGTCAGCAGGGAAAGGGGATGCTGGTTGTGCCAAACCTCCTAATTTTTCTGCTTCGTGCCTTCAGAGATGGATAAACAGGGTGGGAGTAAGGGAGTCAGACACGCTGTGGGCGCACAGGGCAGTGAATCAAACCCGGGAAGCTCCCAGGTCCCTGACTCAAACCACTCATCACAGCCCACCCCCCACCCCCCACGCCAAACTTCTTAAAGGTCAGGCCAGGGCAACCCAGAAACCGGGCTCCATTTGGATGCCTGTTTTGGCATCACAAACAGCTTCTCCTCCCCACAGATGTCTCTTTGCTTCTTCCTGGGGTGAGTGGGCCGCAGGGGGCCTGGGTCCTGCCCTGCAGACTTGAGTGAAGGCTGGGCTGTGGGGAGTCCCACGGTGAGTAGGTGGTCTCTGCAAATGTCAGGCTTGCCAGTTACAACTCTTTTTAAAGTATTTATAAAATTCCACTATGTTGTTGTGTGGGAATAGAGTGCCCCCAAATTCACATTCAGGAGTTCGTCAAGGAAAGTGTATGTGAGGAAGACTGTGCAGTAGAGCAATGGATCGGCATTCAGAAGGTCCAGTCCCAGGGACGTCCCCTCCCTCTGGAGGCGGAGGTGGGGGGTCGGCACCTCATGCGTTACTTAGAGACAGTCACACACCTTTAACAAAATACAGAGGTTCATTTTGCTGAATAAAATTGAAAGGGGTCTTTTGACAAGTAAGGGAGAAATGAGCCAAGCCTCATTGTCTCTTTGACGTTTCTGAGAAAATCGTAATTCCAATTCCCTCCGATCCTCGTACACTTCAGATAACTTCGTGTGGCAGCAAATTGCACAATATGTTGTGCGTGATACACACTCAGTAATTTTTGTTCAGTGGAGCTAAACTTCAGCTTACCGCTGAAGGAAGTAAACTTCAGCTTACCGCTG